GATAAATCGGATCAATCCCCAAAATATAATTCAAAAGATATAGTTAAATAGAAGAAGACACTGAATAAAGGACTCCCCTCTAAATTGGAAGTATGATTCAGACACACTTATTTACAATGTTGGTTCTCTATCAAATTCGAATAATGTGACAAAGAGAACGATTCTTTCTACGATTGCTCAAATCTATAACCCTCTTGGCCTGCTTAGTCCATGTACGGTCACAGCAAAAATCATGTTGCAAAATCTATGGCAAGAGAAGCTGAGCTGGGACGAGGCGGTTCCTCAAAATATTTTTACACAGTGGCAATCATTCAGAAGCGAATTGTGCAAGTTAAACGATATTGAAATACCCAGATATGTTAAGTTAAAGGGTTCTATCTCTTGAGAACTACATGGCTTTTCGGATGCCAGCAATAATGCTTACGGCGCAGCTATTTATGTCAAGAGCACCGATTCTAATGGGGATGTGGTGGTTCTCTTGTTGTGCGCAAAATCCAAAGTTGCGCTTCTAAAGGTCGTCAGCATCCCGCGCTTAGAAGTGTGCGGAGCTTTACTGTTAGCACGTCTGTCTGATAAGGTAATTAAATCTCTAAATATTAAATTTGATAAGGTCTTTCATTGGTGCGATTCTACCATCACTCTGGCGTGGATACGCACACAGTCGAATCTATTAAAGACCTTCGTTGAAAACCGTGTCGCCGATATTCAAAGTAAAACCAATGAAGACTTATGGTGGCATGGTCCTACGTGGTTAAAGCATTGTCACGAGTTTTCGATTAATTTTTCTCATTCGAAGGAACTTCCTGAACTCAAAACTATAAAAATCGCTACAATGTCTGCCACATCAGATTTATCTTTAATAACAAGGCATTTAAGTTTATTAAAATTAAAAAAATGTACCGCATATATGCTTCGGTTCATCGATAATTTTAAACTACCGCGGCATGAGCGAATTTTTGGTCCCTTAATGGTACATGCGATGCTTCGTTTGGTAAAAAATATTCAAGAGCATTGTTTTGTCAAAGAAATTCGTAACTTGACCCAAAACAAGCCTCTAAGTTCTAAAAGCAAAATTATTTCACTGCAACCGTTTTTAGATTTAAATGAAATACTTCGTGTGGGTGGCAGATTAAAGAATTCTTCGTATGGCTTCGAGAAAAGACATCCAATTTTGTTGCCATCAAATCATTATTTTACTGACCTAATATTTATTGATATGCATGAAAAATTATGTCATGCTGGTCCTCAGCATCTTCTAGAGTCAATGCGTAACGAGTTTTGGCCAATTCATGGTAAAAATACAGCTAAACGCATCGTGCATAAATGTTTAAAATGTTGTCGCGTAAATCCTCCTCCAAACCCATAACCACTCATGGGTGACTTGCCGAAAGATCGCGTAGATCCTTCTCCACCATTCTATATTACCGGTATCGACTACGCTGGTTACTTTCAATTAAAGGATCGAAAGGGGCATGGTTGCAAACTTTTCAAAGCATATGTGGCTCTATTCGCATGTTTTACAACTCGCGCTGTTCATTTAGAATTGGTGACTGATCTAAGTACTGCATCATTTATGTCGGCTTTTAAACGCTTTATTAGTAGGAGAGGAAAGCCTCTTAAAGTGTACTCAGATAATGGAACAAACTTTCAAGGTGCAAATCGCTAGATGAAAGAATTTGACAACTTCAAATGAAGTTGTCGAATGGCACTTTATTCCTCCCCAATCTCCTCATCTTGGTGGCCTTTGGGAGGCCGGTGTCAAATCAATGAAAATTCATTTAAAAAGAGTTGTTGGTAACGCTCACCTCACGTGCGAGGATTTTAGCACGGTACTTACCCAAGTGGAGTCGATTCTTAATTGCCGTCCTTTATCTCCTCTTTCATCTGATCCCAACGACCTTCATCCCTTAACTCCTGCTCATTTTACTAATTGGGAGACCTTTGACGACCATTCCCGAGCCAGATCTCACTCCAATACGTGAGAATTGTCTGCATCATTTTCAACGTCTTCGTCAAATGGTCCAACTGGTCCAGGTGGTCTCAAGAAGTAATAGCTGAACTACAACAGCGAAAAAAGTGGAAACAAAGCAGTGGGAGCATCGTCACAGGAACTTTGGTTCTTATCAAAGAAAAGAACTTACCTCCTCTAGTCTGGCAGCTAGGCCGTGTGATGGAACTTCATCCAGGACCAGACGGAGTTACTCGGGTAGTCACCCTAAGAACTTCCAAAGGAATCATCAAGCGGGCAGTTTCCAATATCTGTCCCCTTCCGTGCAGTCATTAGTGCTGCGCTTCTGTTGTGTAAGTGCCAAGTTTTCGCGGACGTTTAAAATTCTGAAACATTCATTCGTTTAAAAGATAACAGACTTTATTACAATGAATACTTACTTGTTATTTTGCTATTTTCAGCTAAATTTTTAGCATTGTATATTTTAATATTTACTTTTTATTTTATGTTGAAAGGCTATAAGCTTTCAAGGCGGACGGCCTGTCCCATTTTGATTTTATATATTTTAAATATTGGCGCGCCACTCTGGCAGCCGAACAATACACTCGCCCTGCGCGGCATTTATTCTCATTCTATTAGAGAACACGCTAACAGCTCGTTCAAGAGAGCGCATCTTCGTTTTGCTTATAACCTGTACTTGCAGAAATAAAGTGTTTTCAAAGGTTTTAATCATTCATTTTTATTCAGTTCAGTGTCATATTAACATCGAATATAAGTATACAGTTAGTACAAATACAATTCAACATCCATATCTTCTCAAATTTTGATTTGCTGTGAAAACAATATCTAAATGTTCTTCAATATCTTCCTCTTCTACCATTGGAATGTTTTGTTCCACACATATATTGTGTAACGCTGCACAAACTTTTATTATTTTGCATACAAAGAAAGGTTTATACCAAGCTGATCTGTCTTTCGCCAGGCACCTAATTCGCATCTTTAATAAGCCAATACACCTTTCTATCGTATTTCTGGCTCTCATTTGTGCATTGATATATCTTGCTTGGGGAGTGCCTTCTTGTGCATTTTAATTGGTTTCATGACTATTCTGGTTTGTGCATAGCCTGAATCTTCTACTAACCAACCAAGTTCTCCTCTGTCGCTGATGCCTTGAATATAATTTTTATTTGGGAATTATTCCAAATGAAAGAGTCATGGCTTAATCCTCCAAAATTAGCAAAAACATTTATTATTTGTAGCTTGGCATCACAAATTAATTGGCAATTAATTGAATGGAAACCTAAAAGAAACATTATTATTTTATGAATTTTATACGCCTCTTTAATTCACAATAGAAACCTTTTCTGTTAATGTAATTGTGTTCATCAACTTGTGGCTTTAAAACAGCTATGCGGGTTCCATCAATTGTTCCTAATGTGCCTGGAAACCCAAATTATTCCATAAAATCATTTTTTAATATATTTCGTTTGGCAACTGTTTCTGGAAAGCGTATTTTTTGGGGAACTACTGTTTTCCAGAGCCCCTGTAACCTCATGAATGCAGTTATGAATTGCAGATTGACTTAATCCACAATTATATTTCTCACCTACACATCTTTGATAGGAGCCAGTGTCATAGAAGCGTAATGTTACAAGAACTTTTTTCTCTACTGATGTCCCCGCATTTATCTGAGGATTTCTAATATGAATGCGTATATATTCAATGATTTCTCTAACCAATTCCTTATTAAGCCTAAATAATTCACGAAATCTTACATCCGGAAGTTCAAATGGATTGTAAGTATTGCGTAGAAACCGTCTATTGCCTATTAATGCTTGGTTAATTTCCCTTTTGCGGCGATTCAAATCATAAATTCGAACAATGGGAATCATTTAATTTTTACAGTTAACAAAAAAGCAAAATAATTAATATTGTCTAATCTCTTTAACAAACAACAAAAATTTAAAACATGATCCTAGTGTCAAAACTGTCAAATAAACGTTGGAAGAATTTCATTTCCTCAAATTTCCATTCCATTTGATCAAAATTTCCCAGTAAACCCGAAAGCGTATTCGAATGGTTTTCATAATCGAGTTTTTGATTCGTATCAAGTTCTTGTAATCTTGTTCTCGCGGCAAACGAGTGAGTATACTGCATGCCAGAAGTGATAAGGGTTTTGTGCCCAATTCTTTTAATATAAAGCACTTTTCGGCTGATTATCATGAAAACATGACCACCATTATATTTGAAAAGTAGTTTACTTAACAATGGCTGCCCAATATCCCCCAAATTTCGTCATTGTAATGGACAATGCATCTTATCATTCCCGTCTTCATAGCAAACATAGCAAAGTTCCCATAGCAGTACTAATAAGGAAGATATTCTCAAAATCATGGAGATTAAAAATATGAAAATTCCTCAGAAGGGTATCAATAATTTCGTACTAAGACATATAAGAATAGTTATTGATGAAGTAGACGCCAGTGGTATTTAGATGAACTGTGTTCGGCATATTACAAAAACGGAGGGCGAATATTGTATTTTATCGACCATTAACCCCATAATACTAAAGCTAAATTCAAATTCTAGCTCTGAAGATACAGATAGTGACTTTTCATGAAATTATCAGGAAACTAAAACTAAATTATATAGGAATTCTTGTTTGTCTGTTTTTTATATAATGATCACATAAAAAAGTGCCTTTTAAACACTATTACGCTTCATTTAAAATATTATGTATTTATGTAGGTATTATGAAAAATACACCTAATTAAAATAATTAAACATTTTTCCATTTCTACTGTCGCATTGCACGCCTAATTTAAATTGAATGACCCCCATCGTCAAATTCACTATTTGTATTTTTTTCGCTAGTAGTATAAATAACGTTCAACATATTAATATTTAGTTATTTTAAAACGAAAACTAGAATCTATCATTTTACGCGATATCATCTTTTTCTGTTACTCTTTATAGGTTTTTATTTCACAGTACACCGACGATCGTTCATTTCTTTAAAAATAATTGAATTATCGCGTAGTTTATACAGATTCGGCTTAAATTTTTCTTGGATATAGGCAAAATTATAAAAATATTGAAGAATTTGAAGCTATTTGCATAATAAAAATAAAAGTTTTTAATGTGTCATAGTGTTTTTATTAATTTAATATGCACATAATCACTTTTAGTAGGTATCCAACTTTTCTGTTGTATATTTTGAATAAATTCTATTCCAGTCAGTAAATTTCTTTGGTCCTCTCTTTACTGATAAGTTTGAATTAATATCCAAGTATAGAAAGTTTTCCTCAGCAACTTTGGGCCATTTAAAATCTCCTAATACTTGAGAGTTATAAGCAGTAGGATTCCTAAAATAGAAAATTATTTTTACGTTTTTTATTTAATCAATTTTAATAAAAAAAAAAACACTGGTAATTCAGTACAGTTATTATAACAAATAAGTTCACAAATAACATCAGAAAATCAGAAATAATCATAATAATTATTGTGAAACATTCCCTAATACGATTGGCTGTTTACCGTTAAGGGAAAGTAATATAGCCCAAAAGCACAATATCGAAGGGGTGTAATCAAGTAAAAGAAACCAGATACCGCGGTGGTGCAGTTTAAAATGAGACACACTGTATGTACCTCAGTTTTCTAAACCAGCCATTTTAAATTAGAAATTTTTTTTTACAAAAATATATTAATATAAAATCTATCAACAAATTGTATAAGTTGTTTTATATCAATACTACTTACAAATATTTAATAAATTGTGACCACAAGTCCATAACGCGCTCATGGGTCACAATATCTCCTTTTGGAAATTGGTCCAGGTTATCAGCAGTCGCATTGTGCCAAAAATACCCCAATTCTTCTCGGTTTCCAACACCAGAGATACCTGAAATTATTACATTTTAATTTTATTATAACTGCAGAAACCAAACATGTCCATAAAACCAAATTTTACAAGAGAAAAACTGCGTAGTTTTACAAATAGTTGCGTACAAAACCTGGTAATTTATATACAAAAAATGGATAAAACCTTAGATAAAACCCCCAAAGGATTTTTTAAATTTGTTTTTTAAGATTTGAAAGTCATTTTTGATAGATGGTCAACGTTCTGTTTCTGCATATAATGCATTTTTCATGTGGTTTAAAGTAATTTTCTGTAAGGTTTGTTTAAGAAAAATAACTTTATATGAAACATTTAGTATATTGAATACAAGTTCTGGATTGAAGTGATTATTTGTGACAGTTTTTATTAAATCTATATTTGGTACATTATTTAGGCGCTCCATAAGTATTAACTTGGGGTGAGTCAGAATTAATTGAAATATTTTAAGGAGTAGTTTTGGAGTAATCCACCCTTACAACCATGCACAACTTTTTTATCATTCAGCCGATTTTGAAAATTAAATGAGAAATTCATTTTAAAACGTTTGTTTACTCATTTTATTTAAAAAACTTAATATTTTTCGACAAAAACAAGAAAAAGTAAATCAGTGCATTATGAAAATGTTAATATAAAAATCACTCAAAACTTTAGCCGGCCATGCATTTATCAAACAAATTCGACATTCAATAAATAATTTAATATAACAAACTTCTTTTGACCACGGCTTGTAAATTTTCATTCGGTGAACAAGTTAACTTATTATTAGTGTTAGGTTTTTGCAAAGGAAACTGCACCAGAGTGTAGAGGAATATTGAAGGAAATTTATTAATCGTGTAGTACCTCATAGAGAAACATATTCTACTATTAAAAGACGGGCTCAAAAAACCCCAAATTGGGGGACAAGAAAAACAACATGTATTATCAATGAAAATGAACCTCGAATCAATCCTAAAAAATTATTTCGACGCACAAGAATATGGAACAAACTCAAGTAAACCGCGTTGAAAACCCAGGGAAACGTAAACACGAAGTAAACACAAAATATCTAGAATTTATCCGATGTGGTAATATCCATCATCCTTCAGATACAAGGAGGAGTCCTGCATTAAATGTTAAATGTCATCAATGTGGTCGCATAGGACACTTTGCAAGGCGATGTAAAAGTGCAAAAGGAAATCGCCCAAATTATCCAAACACGTCGAATTTTCGATTAAATAATAAAACGGAAAAGAGGAAAAGAGTTCGCCTTTTTAAAGGAGGAGCTGACAGCGACGTGTCACCTTCAACTAGTGGCAGAAGTAATTTTGAATATTTTAGAATAGATAATACAACAATTCCTAGTGATATTAGTAGAGACGAAATAATAAATGTTAAAATTATGGCTCAAATGAGCCATCGACAATAAAATGTAAATTTACAGTACCCATATGTGTTGGAAACAATAGAAAATCCATTCAATCTTTTGTTGTGGTAGAAAATGGGTCAATATCTCTATTGGAAAAAGGGCCATCGATTTGCTTGGGAGTTCTGAAACTAGGATTAACAGGAAAAATAAACAACGTCAAAGAAACTACCGAATTCCCGAAACTTCGAGATATTAAAGTAAGGCTCACAATAGATCCAAAGATAAAACCGGTACAACAACCACTGCGACGAGTTCCTGTTGCTGTAGGAGCCAAACTCGAGGGGGAATTAAAAGAAGTACTATCCCTAAAAAATTGAAGTGATTCGCACCTTTCTAATCCCAACAAACAAAGAAGAAGTAAGAAGTTTTCTACGGCTCGTCACATATTTAGGTAAATTCATATCTAATTTGTTTGACCTTAACGAACTACTTCGACAGCTCTTAAGAAAAGAAACTAAATTTCAGTGGGGACGAAACCAGCAAGAGAACTTTAAAAACTTAAAGTAGAGTTGGTAATGCTGCCAACTCTGGCATTCTTTAGTTTGCAGAAATGTACATAATTAGTGGCTGAATTAGTTCTATCGCACTAGGGGGCAGTATTATTACAATTCGATGAAAACAACGAGCCACATATCATTTTGTTTGCAAGTAAAAGTCTCACACCCGTGGACCGTAGATATTCACAAACCGAAAAAGAAAGTCAGGCATTAGTGTGGGCTACAGAAAGATTTTACTTTTATTTAGCTGGAATAGAATTCTAATTAGTCACCGATCATAAGCCACTGGAGGCCATATTCAAACCTACATCAAAACCTCCAGCTAAAATAGACAGATGGCTCCAAGCATTCAAATTCAGGGTCTATAAACCGGGAAAATCTAATATTGCCGATCCTTTGTCAAGACTATGTAAGTTCGGATTCGACAAAACCTTCGATGAACCAAATAAACACCATGTGCAAAGTTTTAAAGAATAAGTTATCCTCAAGGCACTATTACCGGAAAGACAGAAGGCCCAGAAACTTTAGAAACTATAAATAAACTTGCAGTTAATGATTGGGAAACAAATTTCAAAAATTCTTACTATCCTTTTCGTCTGGAACTGACTTTTTTGGGACCAATACTTTTATGGAGCAACAGAATAGTAATCCCCCCACAAATCATTTGTAGTCGAATATTGTAACTTTCATATAAAGGGCACCTAGGAGAGACCGTGATGAAAAGAAGAATGCGAGCTAAGATATGGTGGCCACGAATAGACAAAAACTGTGAAAATCATGTTAAGCATTGCCGCGAATGTCTATTAGTCGGACAGCACCGATGTCAAGACAAAAGTTGCCAGCAGGCCCATGGCAATACCTAGCTCTTAATTACATGTCAGGAGAACAATATCAAGAACATTTATTACTAGTACCCTCAAAACGATAATTCGGGCCTTAAAAGTAATATTTTGTAGACTAGGCCTCCCCAAAACCATAAGGTTGACAACCAGTGTCAAAGTTCAAGAATTCAAAAAGTACTACGAGACAAATAACATTGAAATAGTCAACTGGCTTTTTAAATTCCCTATGAATCCCCAGGTCTTCTAAAAATCTAGTTTAAGATTGCAATTAAAAATATTGTGAAGGATTGTCAAATTCTCAGTAGTGAAATTGTGGTTTTTTTAAATTGATGTGGTGACCAAAAGTTAACTTATGAGGGTATCGTAAGTATTTAATAATGCTAGTTTTTAACTTTTTAGCTGTTTTACCGATGTAAGAAGTGTTACAATCATTATATGCCACTCTTGTCCAAAATATCAATATCATCTTTAATAAGAGAAAGAACACTTTTAATATTATTGTTATTTTTGAAAGAAATTCTGATATTATTAAAATTTTTATAAAGAGCTGCAACATTATTCGAAATTTTGCCAAGGTAAGGTAGCGAAAATGTTTTAAAATTCTGTAGAGTGTTGTTGTTAGAGCTGTAAGCAAGTTGAGATCTCTTTTTTGATTTAAATTTTTTAATAACACCATTAATAACTGATAGGTCAAAATTATTATTATTATTATTATAGGCTAGTGTTTTGAGACATTGGTTTCTTTTAAAAAATTTGAAGTAGAAAGGGGGATATTAATTAAACTGTGAACATACCAATATATGACTGACACCTTATGCTGATAAGAGTGGTTATAATAAAAATCAATTAGATGGTCAGTCTGAGTAGGTTCTCTGAAAATATCAAAATCTAATCGTTTTTCGACTTTATTAATGGACAAATCTAGGAAATTTAAGGTATCGCTGGATTCAGTTTCAAGAGTAAAGTTAACAGCAGAGTGAATATTGTTAATAAAGCCCAGAAAAGAGTGTATATCAGCTAAACTACAAGTCATAATAGCAAAGATGTCATCAACGTACCTACGCCACTGTAGAATTTTATTATTAATAATTAAAATGTTGTTGACTTTAAGGTGGTCAAGAAATAGATCAGCTATTAAAGGGCTTAAAGGGTTGCCCATAGCTAAGCCTTTAGGTTGTCGATAAACTCTTTTATTGAAGATAAAAAAATCCTGATCTAAGTATAATTTCAATAAGTCAAGAAGAATTAAGATATTTAATGTTATTTATAGACAAAAGGTCTTTAATAAAATGTGAGAGTTCTGAAAGTTTACTAGCTAAAATATTTACAAGATTGGTGTTTATTTTTTTTGTTTCGTTTTATGAATTAAATTTGTTTTTTTATTTTTAAACAGGTGATATTGTTCTTTTAAATTGTCAATACATCACTTTCTTAAATAAATTATTCTTTTAATTTTTTTAATTAAAATTGTCATCCAAGACGCCATTTCAGTTTTTCCACAACTTTTAATTTCCTGTCTGTATACAGAAGGAAATTATAGGAACCATGATTAATTTCGACCTAAAGTCTTCGATGAATTTTTACGTTTTGGGGTCCTCTGAATCCGTTTTGACCAATTTCGCAAACATGTGATGATTTATCTGTCTGTGTTTGTGTGTGTGTTTGTGTGTGTGTGTTTGTGTGTTTGTGTGTGCGTGTGTGCGCGCGCGCGCGCGTGTGTGTGTTTGTGTATTTGCGTGTGTATTTGCGTGTGTGTTGTCTTGTGTGTGAGTGGGTGGGTGTGTATGTTTCTGTAAGTCTATGTATGTATATGTAAGTCTATGTATGTCTGCAAGTCTGTGTATGTGTCTGTAAGTCTGTGTATGTATCTGTAAGTCTGTGTATGTGTCTGTAAGTCTGTGTATGTAAGTCTGTATATGTGTCTGTAAGTCTGTGTATGTATCTATATCATCAAGTAGTATGATCTATATCCACGATAATTTAAAAACGGATAAAGAGAAAAACACTTAATTTTAAACATTTAGGCGCAATTGGAGCTTCTGGGGGTACTTTAGAGATAGTCGTTTTTCTACTATAAGAAATATATACGCTATGTACTCTTGTGATGTCATTCTTTATATTACTATACATGATTTCCCTAAAATGATCCATATTCGAGAAATTTGATAAAAAGTGCAAAATTTTAATTTTTCAGTAGTTTCGTCGGCAATTAATACATATAAAAACATGTTTTGAGTAAGATGTATTTATTTCATTCTCTAAACATTTACAGGGGTGATATAAAAAAATGTACAGTGTAATATTAGACCTTACTCAACATAGTCTAACTAACAGAAGAATGACATACGAAAAATGTCATTACAAATAACCGGAAAAAGTATATAAGTTATAACTTTAGTTAAGACGAATCAGATTTTTTATGTAGGTATGTACGTATGTCTTTTATATTTTGAACAGTACCAATGACTATTTCTATTGCAACACTTGAGTAATCATCATTTTGTTGGAGTTTATAATTTTGTTTGTTAGCAAGCCGAAATATAGCAAATAATAAAAGATTAGATGAAGTTACTTATTATAGAAGTATACGGTGAAATATTGGGTTCAAAAACTATTGGGACATACATTAGCACCGAGAAAGTTTTTGTTTTGTTGTTTTAAGTGCTGTCAATCTATGTCAAGTCTGTTGTTTTATTTACCATTGTTTAGGTTTTTTATAAACCGTGACCTACAGTTGACCAAATATTGAATTTCTTAGACTTTAGGCTCAAATAATTGCATATTGGCTCAATAATTTGTGAACTGACGATGTGGCACGTGTGTAGTCAATATGTGGATTCCCACTTGAGATGTGAGAAAGAACAACCAATGCTGAAATAATCATTGGCCTGGCCATGTAAGCTAATGTGTGAAGTCAAACTTTTAAATACAAAAATAGGAAGTAAATAGTTTATAAAATTTCTTACCTTCTTGATATTGATATCTTCCCAAGGTTCCGAGATACGAGAATTGGTAGAAATAAACATCCGTATATTGAGATTGCAAAAAAGCATATCTTGCTATTGGTATGTTTAATAAACAGTCACTCAGGAACTAGAAAATATGTTTTCAATGCAAATTATTTTAAATATGATTAATTACTTACACTGATGGAACCCGATGGACTTGTGGCAAAGGAGTTAGTATATAAATTTTTTAGTTCATGTCCAGCGTCTCTTCTATTTTTATCTTTCATGTTCATGTTTGCAGTAATGGCAAGACTTTCATTCAAATCTATTAAATTAGTTTGAAGAAGTAGCTTAGGTACTTCTAAAATACAAGGCGTTCTTAAAATACATATTAAAACAGAATACATAATCATTATATCAAGGGATAATTAGAAATACTCTCATTACCTCCCTGTAGGAATTATTGAAACTAAATTTTTTTAGAAAATCAAATACTCACTGAAAAATAACATTTCCTCTGATGTAAAGCCGATTAAAATGGGCACTTTATTTATATCTCCGTTTTTCAATTTCTCGTAGTTCATGCCCGTTACAATAGCATTTTCATCATTTTCTTCCTCTTTTACAGCAGTCATAGGATATGAGTCCATTTGATGACAGTTGGCTAGGTCTGGAAGTGAATTCCTGTCACCCTTGAACATTTATAAAATCCATTTAATAACGTTTGAATAAAAATGGAGCATTTGCTTAAAGTAGTTTCTAGCTAATAATTAAAAGCATTTATATATCTTGCTAGTCGACGGAATAAGACTCTATCTAAGAATTTCTAGATATCTAGAACCCATTTACTATCATGGATATCATGGAAGAGGACTACCAGACATCACAGACATCGCCATCACTAGAGATTTTATATTTACATACGAATACACATAGGAACTGGTGCACACAAATCTATTCTACTACATTTAGGTGAAGAATAGAGAGACAATACTCCGAAATAAGTATCTAAGACAACTTGGATACAGTTTATAAGGATATTGGGTCGGTGAGTGAGTGGGTGGTGGTGAGAATACGTATGTTGAAATCCACAGTGTAACTCACAGCATAATAAATAATATTTTAAGAACTCGGTACTTCCCAAAACTGTGGGGCATCGCCTGAGTTTATTATGATAAAAAAAACGAACAAGGACCTAACTTTTCTACAAAATTATAAGCCCATAAGCTTGCTTCCAGCTAAGCGTAAAATTGCGGGAATAGTTATATTAGCAAAAAATCGAAGAAACTAACATAAAACCTGACTGACAATTACAATTAAGGGAGGAACAGTACACCAAATTGCAAGTTTTGAAACTAGTCGAAGGTATTACAAGATGATTCAACAGAAGAGATAAAAGCTATTATCTTGGTCGCTAAGGCATTCGATAGAGATTGGAATACTGGAGTGATATACAAAAGGTACACAGAGGGAATAATATGACTGCTCAAGTCGTAACTCAGTTGAAGGCAAATCTCAGATCAAGATAACAACCATCCTATTTAGGTCAGGAATACCTGAAGTACTTTAAGGAGCGGTGATGTCACTACTGGTTTATACCGTATATACTCGTACATTGGACATATTTAAGAAGAAGCACACTGACTGTAGCAAGCAGAAGTCCAAGATTAGTGTACCAAAAGGAAGATCAAAATCAGAGCCGACAAAAATCAGCTGTACAAGAAGACGACGCACCAACTAAGCGATATAACCAAAATAAACGAATGTAACAGCTAAACCAGTTAAATACCATGGAGTAAAGTTGAATTTAAATTTAAGTCACTAGTGGACGTGTACATGATGATGAACAAAACAAAACTAACCAGATAACGGATGAACTGCTTTCTAGAAAAAGAAATCAGATTATTGCTAAAAACCAAGATGCGACTAATTCAAGCAGTAATACTGTCAATCTTGATATTTGTCTTAAAGATCCTAGAGGAACAAACGGGACGAAGATACAATGTCAACAAAACATATATTACGACAGATTGTAAACGCTTACAGGTACATCCGTAACGACATTATATTTAGGGATCTAGAATCACCAGGTTTCTAATGTATTTTACTAAAGACGAGATAAGTCATTACAGAAGATACGCCAAACCACCTAAACTGTTGGTTTATGGTGGAGAATGATGAAAAATTCGTAGATAGAGAAATAGTACTTCCCGCTATTTTTTTACATTTTCTTTCAGCATTCTCTTATTAGGATTAAGTCCCCCTAGTCACCAAATCAGAAGACTAGCAGAACTTTCACAGAACGATGGAACAACAGAATTCGCGCACATAGAATACATAAACAAACGACGTAACATGGTAAGCCTTCAGCTATGCCCTATCTAATTGCCAATAGTATGTTATTCTCTACGTTATCAAAATGAGCAAAACCAGTTCTATTTTGTAACGCTAAATAACCTATAAAAATAAAATTTGGTGTTTAGGAAACATTCGTTGTCCAAAACTAGTTTAACCTTTTTTTTAGCCATTGCTGTAACATATACAATATCCGAAACCTGTAATAATGAGGATAAAAAGGTGGAATTTGTTTGATAACCAAATATATTAGCAAAAAAAATCAAGTCCATAAAATATTTCAAATAATTAATTTTATATGAAAAATCTATAAAAAGATTTTATATAAATTTGCGTTTCTTCAGTCCGTAGAATCCAAAAATTAAATACATGGTGTTTCATTTAAAATCGAAACTTTAAATGAAATACATTGTGTTTCATTTAAAATCATAACTTTAACATGTAACAAGTTTCTGAAACACTCTGTATATTGTCATAAATTTTAATATTTGGCTAACTGAATTGCATATGACTGTATCTGAAATATTAATTAAATCTGCAAGCATTTATCCTAAGTAGAAAACATCGAATATCGTGGTTTATAACTAAGATGATAACAAAAAATAGTTACCTGAAATTTAAGAACTACTCTCTTTAACTGTTCGATATCTGCTGTTTTAAATATATGTAATATTTCCTGCGATGTCAGATTCCTCTGGTTAGTCGACGATAAAGCATTGGCTAAAATTAATATTAACAATAAAAAGTTATATGTTTTCTAAAGTTATATTTGTATTGGTTGTAAAAACGAAACTACCTAAATATTGAGCAACTTTTTTGGGATTTTTGTGGACAGCCCAGCAGGATAAAGGAGAGCCACTTTGCAGAATGGCTGCTCTAAATAAACCTAAAATCAAACAAAATAAAACATTTTTAATAAACCAATTTTCTTTTAACAAATGCCTTTTCAACTTTCCATTCAAAAACCTTTCTGAGAATTATTTTTGTTTTCTAACAATCAATTATCAAAAAATTAGATAACAGTACTGAGAGTAGCAAATAAGCTAGGGCCATTAATCAGAGACGTATAGTCTGGAATACTAAAATCACCTATTTTTATTAATTTATGATTATAAAGATGTATTTAAATAACGTTTCATAATATTCAGTAACCGCAGCTGGTGGTACGTACAAAATTATTAAAATATTATTACTATCATTTCGTGGTTTAATTTTTGTCAGCAAAATATCAATATTGATAAAAACAGCTAGGTAAAGTTACTTTTATGATGCTTGCGTATGTTTTTTTTTTCACTGTTATACCCCACCACCTCTCAAAGTATCGGTTATATTATATTTACAAAGATCCATGATAATGTAACAGCAGGTTTTCCTGAGAAAATAAGCTGAAAATTGAGTAATAGTTTAAACGTTGTCTATGAGCTTCGTAATTTTTATTCTAAATCTGCGAAAGCAATAAAAAGAAAATTTGTACATCATGAAGAGCAATAAAATCACTTTAAAGGTCAGTTTATGCTATTGAAAAGGTATATTATTGTTTTTGAACTTAGTAAGTACTTTTGTAGAGAAGTGACAATTTTAAAAGCCTACGTTGAATGATCAATTGAGGGGTTTTTTCGTTTTTGGAGTTAAGTATAAATTTGTAAACTCAAAATATTCTTTTATTTGGCAAATAATAGATTCAAGTGAATTTATGACAAATAAAGCCATGATCGCCATGCAAAAGAAGGGTCTTAAAATAAGCTATAGAAATATGTATTTTAAATAGTTACAAGAGCGCTTATACCTCTTTAATTCTAACATGTTTTTGTCAATTTTCCATCTGAGCTTTTATTTTTAGTCCGCTTTTTGTGAGATTTTCTAGAAATACCAATAATAACAAAACGTAGGGTGCCTTGATTTTTTTTGTAAACTTTCGAAATGTATTTAAAAAAAATTAAAAGGAATTAAAAAAATACGCGCTATTCTGAAATTAATCTATAAAAATTTGCTGCATTTGTTTTAATAAATATCTAGTAGTTTTTAAATAGGAGGATTTCCCGCCTTTTTTCTTAAAAGTCTCTGTAGAGTACTGCCTTATCGTATCGTTTCATAAATTTAAATCTGTTAATATTCTCAAGACACATAATATCCTGTAGCATTCACAGTGGCGCGCATGCTAGAAAATCCTTTAAACGAGTCTACTTCAGCGCGTCCTGGATCATCAACTCCAGTTGAAGAAAAAGAGTCAAATGGTGACTTGCATTCGAAGAAAAAGCTAGATGGTGTCATTGAATCTTAACTATGGACTATTTTTTTTGAATAAAAATAACTTATCTTTATTTTGTATTCGCCCAGACTAATAAATTAAGTGAAAATTAAAAGGGTATAAATGAATTTTTTTATAATATTTTTGTATTTTTGACACATATTTGAGAGAGTTAAAATATTTACATACAACACATATATTTTTAACGTCTTTATGTTTCAAACTAACGACCATAAGTCGTGTAGTTGATTTTCGGGAGTTTTAAAACAACACTTAACTTTAGACTTCAATATCAGTAATTAAAAAACTGTACTTATACCTCATTAATTCCAAACCCCTCAATTGAAATGTTCATGTTGTGTCTAGGTTCTAGGTTGAATCAATTGCAGCATTAAAGAATATGAGATCTAAAGTCCCGTGAATTATGATTTAAAAAGCTTATAACTAGATTCAATATTCTATTTTATTCATTTATAAAATATTATTGAACAGATTAAAAGTGTTAAAATTCAGATTATGTGAATTGTTATAATTTTTTAAATTGTTTTGCAGATTCACTGATTTCTTCAGAGGTGCTGAATTTAAAAGTACACAAGTTTGCATTAAACGTGCTTTAAAGTTGGTTACAAGGTAACTATTCACTTTTAGAATTCTTTGACAGTCAACATTACTGAAAAACAAAATCTGTCTTTATAAAAAATTAATTTATATACGAACCTTGTGATTTTTTATTTAATATATGATATCCAACTGAAGCTGCTCCCGATTCATGACCACTTAAAGTAACTTTCGATGGATCACCTCCAAACCTCGCTATATTTTTCTGTACCCATTTCAGTGCTAAATTCTGATCTTTAAGTCCAAGATTTTTAGGCATTACACCATCGCCTGTACTCAAGAAACCTACAAAAATAAAGTTTAATAAGATTTATGACATGGTCGAAGCCGAAAATTTCCTAAAAAATATGTTTTTAGCTCGATTTTGAAATCATATTTTAATATTTACAAAAAATTTAGTTGTTCTGGAATAATAGTAAAATAGGACAGTCCAAATTTTAAAACGAAATATTTTTAGTTTTTTAAATAATTAAAAAATCAATATTTGGAAATATGGAGATGCACTTTTATCAGAATATCAGATATCAAATGGGCAAGAGACATTCAACAGAAAACTAATATTTTTGCTTACCATTTACAGAAGACGTTCTAGTAGAAGAAAATTTAGACAAACATGAACCAACAGAAAGACCCAGGATATAACCTTATCAGTAAAGAAATATTATAAAAACTGCTAAGGACGGCTATCGTTAAACGACATACCTCATAAATGCAGCAATTTGTCTTAAATATATCAGATGCATTGAAGTTGGCTAAATAATTAAAAATGAAATCCTAATCCCTTCGCAGCAATTTGGTTTTAGAAATAAACACTCGACTATAGATCGAGTACATAGGTTAGACAATATTATCGAAAAAGCATAAGAACGAAAATGTATATCGATAGCTTATTTGTAATAGGACGTAACCCACATTTTTTTTTTTGAAAACCCCGCTTTCGGTGTTACTACGTAAACAGAACTATTTGACATGCACTTACAAAAGCGTGCGAGTCTCGGGCCAATCAGAATCATGAATTTCGTATCGCAAAGAATATTTTTTGAGATGCAATAACACGCAAATCACAGTTCCTTTATGCAGGGGTACACAATTGGATTTTGGTGTGTTAGTTTAGTTAATTTGCGTGAAAGAAGTTAATTATAACAATATAGAGGTATGATGGCAGTGAAATAAACATAAATTTGTTATAAACTAATCTACAGGTGAGTTATCCACACATTTTTGTTTATACGTCCTATTGCATTAAAACTTTATAGTATTATTCTTTGCGATACGTATTGTTTTATAAAGAATTGTTTGTTTTTAAATTAGACCCATGATACAGGGTATTGAATCGCCAGACGGTATATAGGAAATACTATGCAAATTTCAAATGAGTCAATAAATAATATCTCTAATAGTTACTTTAGACAAAAATAGTATTAAGATGTATTATTGAAGAGTAGCTACTAAAAGTTACATGGGTTTTCGAAGTTTGAGTTTTATGATGCTATAGATGGGAGTAATAAATTGATCCCGTTTCTGGTGATAAAAACAAAACTGAGATGATAACGTTTTATAATGGAACGAAAGGAGGCGTCGCCTCTGTGGACCAGCTTTGTTCACTGTATGATGTTGCACGAATTACCAGATGCTGGCCCATAGTTATTTTTTTCTCCCTTTTGAACATCGCAGGGATAAACAGTCAGGTTATTCATGTCCCTAATCACCCTGATCCAAAATCCGATTTGAAACGTAGAATATTTTTAAAACAAATAGCACTGACGTTGATCGATGAACATCTGCAGAGACGCTCTTATCAGAAAAATGTACTGAAAACTGTGCGTCAAAGGCGACAAGATGTAGCAGGAACTTCTGAGGCTACATCCAATGCAGAAGAGATACCAGAAGGCACTCGAAAATATTGTTCGGGGTGTAAAAATAAAAGTCTAGGTTTTATTTCCAGAAATGTAAATCTTTCGTTTGTTTGAAGCACGCGAAAATGTTGTGCTTTCCGTGCACAAATGCCATCCTGGAAACAAATTTCCATGGTTTGATTTAATTTTCTGTTTCTTCGGGCTGTCGACAGCTCCACTTTCTTATTTATTCTTATTTTAGATAGGTACAAATAAGAAATTCTTATTTTATTTCAAATATTTTGACTGAATAAAGCTTTGTTTGCTTGTCTCTGTGTTTTCTTTGATTATTTACTATGAAAACAAAAATAAACTAATGAAATGAATATTATAAATACGGAGTCTAACAGACCTTCGCGATTAATGCTGTCAGAGCACAGATGCGACTAGCGCAGGGTTAATCGAAAAGAAGTAAAATATCGAATTATACAACTCTCAAGTGAGTACATTTCTGTAATTCGTAAAATAAATAAGACCAGAACAAAGTAATAGAATAGTTTTATTTCAGACATTAGTTTAAGAGAGACTGAAGGGAAAACTTACTAAATGGTTGCATTTGCAGCAACTGAAAACGCATCTCACATCTGATACTCATTCCTTCTACGATTCCATTCCACATTATATGGAATATTTTCCTAACTAATAATGTTTGCTAATGCAAAGTATTTTCTTAATTTTCAGAATTTTTAATCTTATTATTTTATTCTTGTTTGCGAATATTTGTAATAAAATGTTTGTTTATAAAAATGATTATCATTAATAAATATTTTTAAATATTACTCTTCTTTTAAATTGGGGTATCACATATTAGTTTAACGAAAAAAATTATATTTGGCAACTGTAAATATGGCAAAATTCCACTAAGATTATATCTATACCAAAAGTTATCACATTTTTTTGATTTCCACGTTCTATTATGTTTTTCCTATTTTCTGAACATTTTACTTTTTCAGATTACGTCCTATTACAAATAAGCCAGTGATATGCACAGTATACCTTGTTTTTTGGACAGTGGCCCGACTTAGCAATTTCACTATTGTGTTACGATATCTGCAGTCAAGCCAGGTCGAGCGTAGTAAGTAGTTGGATAGGTGACAATCTCAATGAAAGTTAGCTTACATTCGAACACACTGCTCGCGTAGTTGCATACCACAGCGAACAGACGTTATAATAATATCAAAGATTAAAATAACCAAAAAAGATTGACAGCTGTGTGCAGCGTTCAAAAGGAAAGACTTGTATTTCGTGCAAAACTTTTTAATTAATAAATGCAAAGCGCTTTCAGGATTGTGCCATCATCAGTGCTTATCTACAAAAGTTGTGGATTTAAACTTACAATTTATAAATATGTGTAAAAATAAAATCTGAGTAAGACTTTTAAGTCAAAGGTTAAAATTATATATATATATATATATATATATATATATATATATATATATATATATATATATATATATATATATATATATATAAGGTAATTTTGAACAAATTAACAATTAAAAGATAACAGAGTAACATAACCCAGTGTTGGGAATAGTGAGTGTGGGATAAGCCCCTAAAAAATCATATTTGATCTCCAGAAGCAAGTTAACTTGTATGGAACTAAGGAATTATACCATCTTCACTATTCGCATTGAGTACAGTTGAAAGCAAGTTAAAAAATTAGTTAAAAATTAAAAAAAAAATTACAAATAGAGGGAAAATATATTGAAACTTAAATTTAGAATACAATAGTTAATATGAAAAAGGTTAGACGCAAAAGGACAAAGGAAAAAAACTGAAGGTTTTTTTTCCTTACATTATAATTGTAAAAAAGTCTACAAACATATCGACCAAGTTCTTAGTCATCCTCGCTCCCAAAATTAGATATTTCTGGAGATTTACAATTTGCTAAATAATTATTACTATTAATAATATTTTCAAATTTAAGTTGCTTTATACATTCATTTTTATTAATATTGTTTAACCGTGTCCATATGACAGTGGTGACAAGCGACACTCAACGACGTTGACCTGTAAAATGTCAAGAGAGGAGGTGCGTTCACCTCAGTGTGGAACATGTTTCTCCAAGTGTGATTTTAGTGATTGTTGGTGGTTAAAAAAAATCAAAATTTGTTAGTGTTGAATTTAAAGAAAATTTTTCCAAATTTGATTTATTTGTTAGTTAAATTTAAATAAATGTTTAATATGAATTGATCTTTTTAATAATCCTTTTAATGTCAAGACAAAACAAAAATATCACTCGCGTGATTCTGATGTGCCAGCCCGGGCTCTGCAGAACTTTTTTCAGAGAACCCAAGATGGCACAACTGAACCCGCGGTCCCTAGAGGTGAATCTGATGTTTAGTCCTAAAAATTCTAAATTATTTAACAAGCGTACTCATGGTTGGAGTGAGACAAAATAGGGAACAAAAAAAATTATAATCATAAAAGTACCATGGTCCCAAACGTAGGCTCTGATGGGTGAAATCGAGTTTAGGAGGGGATGGCTCTCAAAGGCTTATATTGAGCGACTCGGACTTACATCATCATAGAGGGTTAACTGAATTATCTATGGAGTGGTATGAAATTTCTGTTGAGGTTCACTTGAGTGTTGAGACAAAGAATATTGTTGTCTCTTTCAAGGGTAATTTTAACATCTTCATGAAGATGTAATAAGTTGAAATTTTTTGTGTTCAAGTTGACTAATAATTTGGAGTTTTTTGTTGGGCTAAAATTATGTTGATTGAACCTTAAGTGATGTCCAAACGCAGATGTGTCCGGCTTCTTGATATCAAAGATCCTACCTCTGGTTGAAACATCAGAAGATTTTGCTAAAATTCTGGTATTTAAGGGTAGCGTGCTCACCAGCGTCAGTGTTTAAATTTTATAGTGAGAAATAGGCCGACGTTAAATAAATTAATGAAAAAAACCTTTGCTTTTATTAAAATGATTATCTTCATAGAAGTCTGAAAATGCTAATATCGAAGAAAAGATAAAGAAAGTGGTTTGCTGAGAAACATGAGAGTCGTCTCGAAAGTCAATGAATAAGCACTGCAATTACTGAACGGCTCTAGACTCATTAGAATGCTCACAAGGAAGCCATTTGAACCATTGCTAGTGTAAAGTAGTGTAATAAATCGACTTGACAGCTTGTGATACTTTCTTAGAAATAATCAAAACAGAATGGGGACTTATTTGTTCATAACAGTTCATAGGATTTTTAGATTAAAAGTTTAGGTCAGTCAATGACTAGTAACAATAATCAAACAATATAAAAAAAAGTATTTTAAAAAATACTAGTTTTTATGACCAAAATATTCCTTATAATTTATTTATTTTTACCTAGAGGCCCAAGTCTGTAGTTGATTGTTACAACTACTAGCTTTTTATCGATAAAATAATGAGGACCATACGCATCTATAGCTCCTGAACGAACTGTAAATCCTCCTCCATGTATCCAGACTAATACGGGAAGTAATTCGTCGTTTCTGTGATCCTACAAAAATTCAAACTTTATTATAATCAATAAAAAGATATAAATATTACCTTTACTGCTGTAGAATAGACATTCAAAACAAGACAATCTTCGTTTTCTCTAGGATCTGCATAGTTCAGATTAAACTGATGACATATTTTTGAACTTTCTTTGGTATTTAGTACTCCATTCCATGGTAGTGCTGGCAAAGGTTCCTAAAAAATTGATATTTTTTTGTATCATACTGTGAAAATTTTTGGGAACTTCAAAAAATTCGAATTCATGTTGCTTCAATTTTTCAAGGTAGGGCATTTTAGTCTGTTGAAGTTTTAACAGGTGATTTTAAAATTTTATTATTGTAATTTCATATGTTTTTTGTAATCTATGTCTTGTATAATATGTGAGTAAAAACAATAAATTGTAAAATACATGAAAATGTTTTTTATGTGGATGTATACTGTGTGAATTGCATTTTGACTAGTCTAATGTATTTCACCATCTAAAAAATGTGAAATGCTTAAATAATTATTCTGTTCTGTTCATTTCGTTCCTTTCCGTTTTGTTTTGTTTCGTTCTGTTTAGTTCTGTTTTGTGCCGTTTCGTTTTTTTTTTTTTTTTTTTCGTTCTGTTTCGTTCTGTTTCGTTTGAATGTTCTCCTTGTTTCTGGACGCGTGTATAAGTTTTATTATGGATTAATATTTGTTTTATATCCTTTGTAATTTCCTTTGGAGAGATTGAGTTATTTATGTCTGTCTGAAAGATGCCAGATCGGTAATTCTTCTCCTTCATTTGGCTGGAAGGTATTTTGTATGTGTTTTGCATTCCTGATTGGATTATTCTGCTCAGAGGGAGTTTTTACTCGCTTAGTTGCTTTCCATAGGGAATACCTACTGGCATTATCGTTTGTCAACTTACTAAAGTACTAATAGATTCACTTTTGATTCCTTTTATCTCTTTTTAACTACTGGGTGACGTTTTTAAGATTGGTTTTATCTGATGGAGCTCTGGCCTGATGCCATTTCCTTTTTAGTTTTCTTTTTGCAGGTATTATATTCCTTATTTCTTTAGGATATATATTTCCTGTTTTTCGGTAAGCAATGTGGGTATTAGCCCATGCTGCTTGTTGTATGTTGGACACAAGTAGTTTTACTTATGCATCTATGTGTTCTATTGTTCTTATTAAAACTGTAAGTTTGATTTTCTTTTCAAGATCCAGTCTGAAACTTTATTAGTTTATTCTCCTATTTAAGAGCTTTATTTTTGGATAATGGCGTCGTTAAGAGTAAGAAGAACGGGAGAATGATCTGAATTTGTGTCCCATGCCTCATAGACTTGGATGTTTCCTGAAATATTTTGTAGATCAAAAAAGTTTATTAAATCGGATATTTTGTTTCTGTCTCTGGGCCAATCAGTTGAGTTGTCAGTTGAATGCGATTCATATTTTATCGGTAACATCCATTAAGTTTTAACTCTTAGTCTAGAGCCTCAATGGGTATATTTTGCATTGAAGTCACCTCCAATAACAAATCTAGGTATTGTTTTTTTAACGGTTTGTCTTGGAAGTGACCATAAGTTTTTTTTAATTACTGAAGTAGCTTACGGTTTTTGTGCCAGTAATGATATTAGTTGTTAAAAGGGCAAAAACTAGTACGTAACCATACTTGTGCTAAGGTATTTATTTTTCTTAGAAGATGTGGACAATTTAAAGCAGCTTAATGAAAGACGATACACTGCACACGGAACAAAATATTTTAAGTTTAATTAAAAATAAGTTATTATTATTAGCCACATTATAAGTATTGAAACCACTTAATTATTTGGTTTGGGTTTATTTTAAATCAAAAAGGTTACTGAAATAAATATTTGGGAACAGCTACTCCCATTATGATTGTACAGAGTTAAGAAATAATCCTGACGTACTTAGAAGGTCGGTTAGACACATTTTAAAAAGAGCAGAAGTGTTTCGAACAAAATGGTCTTCAATTTGAACATTTCTTGTAGCTTACAGAAAGTATTAACTCATTTTATACGTGTTAGTCTGTTAATTTTTGTTGGTTTGTTATGTATTTTGAATTATCTTTAAACATATGTGGACTAAGCATATAGCGGATATTACAATAAAAATTATCTAATTTGAAAAGCAATTTTTAAAAATTCTTTTACAGGATTTTTTTTAAATACTTCAATCGTTTGGATACCTTGAAGGAATTTCCATTGACAATATGAGACAAATCTATTGATTGGTTCGTGAATTACGTTTCAAAAAAGAAATTACAAAAATTAAAAACACACTCTATTTCACTCTCATTTATTTTTAATAATAATAAAAAAAATATATTTTTTAAAAATATGTAAATGTATTACCTACCTTAAATCTTAGTGTTCCAATAGGTGGTTGAGCATACGGAATATCTTGAAAAGCATGAAATTCGGTATTTTTGTGTGTAGTTAACAATTTCCCAAGAACGACGCCATCTGTTGTCATTACTTTCTTGAAAGCACTTCTCTAAAATATATCAAAAATAGTAATTAGATATGCTACCTCAGTTTAAAAAGGAAATAACTTGTGATAGTTCTATAAAATTATTAAAAATATCGATAATTGTTCAGTTAAAAAAAAAAAAAAACATAAAATAGATATTTTAAAACTGATGCAGCTTTTTTAAAAACAATTTTTTTAATTAAAATTACATACGTCTTTACTTGACAAAGGCTAGACAAAATCTAATCTAATAAACTAGAAAATTAATGTTAAAGATTAAAATAACAAGCTAAACATTGAAATACAATATGATAGATGAGTCCGAATGTCAGCTGTATATGCTGTAACTCGTAGAAGTGTCTTGTCATGGCAATAAACATTGAACTCACAAAATGCTCTCTAGATCCTCGCTCAAAACAGAAATGAACTAAATGATTCAACAATTCGTTATTTTAGTATTCAACTGTTGTATTATGGATGTATTATAACGCATATAATATGCATATTATGCGTATTTAAGGAAATATAATACAATCCATATTTCACTAGAGAAAACATATTGATATTAGACAGTATTTGTCAATTATACCCGACTAGAATTAAAAATTATTATTATTATTTATTTTGTAATGTTCTACTAATGCGCTGTCTTTTTATATTTATATTTTTTAAACTATTTGCAGACTTATCGTAAATTTATATCAATTTTCAGTAAAAATCCTCAATTACACGGTTTCTTCGATAGCTCGGAACTTGCATTTACATATATACGAATGACAGATAGTTCAGGAAATTATAAATCAAATCTACTGTGTACTAAATCTCGAGTAGCGCCTTCAAAGGTTTTGCCTTTACCGCGTCTTGAGCTATATGGTGCATTATTCTTAGCAAAATTGTTAATTTTGCTACGAGTAATGCACCACATGGCACATAACGCAAACTAAGAAAAATACAGATTAATATTGGGATTCCTAAGGGATCTACTAAAAAAATTATTTTGGACGTTAAGACGCACTGGAATTCATTATATTATATGATTGACAGATTCCTAGATATGTTGAAAATTGCTTCCCAACTTTTACTTGATGTCACAGATGCTCCTGAATTGGTAACTTGACAGGAAATCGAAATATTAAAACAGCTAGTTCTGTTGTTGCAACCATTTGAGTTTGCTACAAGAGAATCTTCAGGGCAGAATTACGTTATCTAAAATCATACCCATGATTAATTATCTCACATCGCAGCTTACGAAATTTTCATCATCAATAGAATGTGTCACTCAGATGCAAACAAAACTACTCCCTGAATGTAAAAAAAGATATACGTTTTAAAAACCTTCATTTACATGATGCAAATGCATGTGGGAAAGCTATACAAAAATTAAAAACATTTATAAAGAGGATAATATGACAATATCATCCAGTGGATCAGAAGAAGAAACCGCCAACGAAGATTTTGATTTTTGGTTACATCATAAACAACTTGCAGTTGGCCAAAAGCGGCGGCCATTAGAGGAATGGGTAGATTTAAGTCACATTCCCAGCATTATATAAACAAGCGCGAATATATTTAAACATTATCGGTACCTCTGTAGCCTGCGAAAGGATGTTTTCCAAAGCTGGAGCAACAGTCACTGCATCCAGAAATCGTCTAACAGGCAAATACTTGAAAAAACTAATATTTATAAGGAACACTACAAAAACGGACTTTTTTGTAGATGTTTTAATTTATTTTAATCTATATTTTACAAAAATAAAATCGATGGATATGAGTAAGTATCGATATTTTACGACCGATACTGTATCGAGTGAAAGTATCGATACCTTAAAATACCCTAAAAATTGATGTTTTAGGTATTGGAAGCACTAAAACTAAACATTAATGATATATTTTGATGGACCGATTCGACGATAATTCGAAAACATTTGTAGCTAATCGTATTGTTGAAATACAACGTATCAGCAGTAATTTTATCTGGCAACTTGAATCTTCACTTGGTAATCCGGCTGACATGATTTCAAGAGGTATAGAAACAAAGAATCTAATAAATGATCATTTTTGGTGGTCAGGACCTGACTGGCTGCGTAAAAACATTGAACACTGGCCTACTAATAATAAAAAATGTGAAATTGAATGATAACATTCTAGAAACATAACAAAATGTAATATTATTACATGTTAATATGCCTGAATGGGACATCTTTCAAATATTTTCTAAATTTAATAATCTAATAAATGTAATTAGTTATTGTTTACGTTTTAAACACAATTATTTAGCTCGCAAGGGGAATATATCGCCATAAAATGGTGATGTAATTCCTTTAGAAAGTGTTATTGCAACAATTGTATTGATAAAAATTGTACAAAATCAATAATTTTTTAAGGAAATATAACATTTAAAAAATAATCGTGATATATCACGAGAAAGTTACTTATTATCTTTAAACCCCTTTCTTGATAAGGATGATATTCTACGAGTAGGAGATAGACTAAGTAATTTTGAATTATCGTACGACCAAAAATTTCCTATATTGTTACCAGGAAATCATAACTTTACCAGATTGCTTATTCAAAATGAACGTACCTACCGTGGTGGAGTTCAAACAGTATTGTCACATATCAGAAGAAAATCTTGGCCTATTAATGCAAAAAATAACATCAAAGGGGTCTTAAGAAAATACGTTATCTGCAGTGGCGGATTTACCAGCAGGCTGAGTAGGCTTGAGCCTAGGGCGGCAGATTTTTGGGGCGGCAAATTTGGGGACCGATTTTTTTTTTCTACCAAAAATCAAAAAGATTTCTGGATGACGGTTTTATGTATTCTGTTTTCTGATGTTTTACAGATAGAAAGCTGCAACAAATTTTGCCGACGACTTTCCCTTCTCACTTATCATTTGTCATTGTACGTTCCGTGAATCCGTTTAGCAATCTTCCATATTCTAGAGTAAAACAGCTAGTTCGCCGCCCCCAACCAGTAATCGGTCTTTGCGCCCTCTCCCCGCACAATGAGTGTAAAGAGCAAAATTATAGAAAATGTATTTTTCTTTTCCTACCGTCAACCCATACAGCCAGTCCTACTTTTTTTTGGAGGCTGCGAACTGCCCGGTTTGTATATAATTTAGTGATTTTAATTTGAATGTAGTAAATAATTTAGTGAATAATTTTACCGATTTTAATCTTATGTATCGACTATTATGTGTTGAACATGCACTAGCTTTAGAAAATTTTATTTGAATTCTAGAAAAACCTTGAGCAGCGATAGCGAGATAGTCTGAAGTCAAAAAAATATTTTTCCCCGAATGCGGTATTTTTTTAAAATGCTACAATGTTATCAATGACGTCAATGTTGCACGTACACGTGATAAGGTCCATTCTCCTAATTCTCCATTCCCATAACCGCGTGGGTTACCCCGGTTACCCAAACATATCGAGGCGAAAAACGAAAACAACATCGAAACAAAAGAAAATAAGGCACGAAACTACAAAACCACGAGTTTTACGCTTGCAAAAAATACTGGGTCGTGATTCGAGACGCTCTCTGCTCTATGTTGTGTGGAGTTAGTAAATGCGAACCCGAATTCACGAAATATATTGTAATCATCATTGTTTCAAAATTTCGAGTAGTATGAGTAGGAGTGTCGACGACACTGTGCCGTGATTTTTACCGGCACCTCCAAAATACAGCTGCAACAAAGGCAAACTGTGACTCTAGCGTGCTGCTGTAATTGCAAAACGAATTGATATTTTTACGCGGGTGTGTGCTGTTTTTTTTTCGACGTGTTTCGCGGATTGTATGAATTTTTTCACAACACCAGTAAGTAAAAACTTTTAATAATCCCAATAAATAATAATAAATTATCTGTAACGAATCAATTCATTCAAAAGCCCTTCAAAAATATTTTTCATTTCGAAGCTTGGAACATGGTCTCGTTAAACTTTTGAACATTTTCATACTAACTATAAGATATTCTAAAAGAATGCTCATGGTTATCTTATCATTTTGTTTTTTCAATTAAGCAAACATGAAACAATAGAAATAATAATTCACAATAAACAATTCATCGGAAACTATGCAAAGAAGTTTCGATTTTTCGTGATAGGATTAGGATAACAAAAATTACATTCTTACGCTATTTATTGCGTGAATTCGGAACGAAGGATGCCGTTGCTTGCGTATGAGAAATAAACTTCTTAATTTCAGTCTTTCCATTTCAGTTCCTGAACAAAAAATTGTAAAAATGAGTGATGGTAGAAAGCGACTTAGCGGAGCGGAGTACAAAAAGAAGGCCAAAATAAAAAAAGAAGAACAAGAGCAAATCATACGAAAAACCACAAAAATTGACAGTTTTTTCAAAAATGAAAATTGTATCGAAAAGTCGGAAACCTCAACAATGCAATCTGGAAAGGATGAAACGGACTTCAAATCGGCTGCCCATCTGTCATCTGTTGAACTATCGACTAAAGAAAAAGTTGATGATTGTGTTCTTGACGATGAGTGCTCCAAAATTGAAGATGCCTCTCGGACCGAGTCGTTAAATGATGGTCGAATGCAAACAACTGAAGATCAGGATCCAGCTTTATGGGAAATTAACGACACTTTAAGGGAAATTATTGCAAGATGCGGCTTCGATCAAAACAAATGTTCTGACTTCTCTAAAAGTGAAAGACTATATGCTGATCAACGTCGTTTCTTGGCAGTGAGTATCTTCCAAAGAAAAATGAAAAACAATGAAGTAAAGGACCGAAATTGGCTGGTTTACTCCGAAAGTAAGAGATCCGTATACTGCGGGCCGTGTTTAGCATTTGGTCCATTGGAGAGTAAAACTCAGTTCGAGAACGAAGGATTTAATGGCTGGAAAAATGCAGAACTTCGAGTAGCTCAGCGCGTCATAAATCCAGTATTCTTAGTTTGAAAGCTAGAAGTACGATTGACGCTCGCATCGATAATTTACTTCATTTGCAAATTGATGAAGAAATCGCTTATTGGAGAAACGTTTTGAAAAGGGTTGTTGCTGTAGTGAAGC